GAAAAGAAAAACATAAACACTTATTTTAAACATGTCTTTTTGGTTGTGAGGTGTGGTTCGATCATATATTTAATTTTTAACAATCAATAATATTTTTTTTTTGTTACACTTCAGTGTTTTTTGGCCAAAGAAAACTAATTCTATTAAGTTTCGTAAAGAGTACATAACATCATCGTTTACATTCTGTTACACCCATTATTTAGAGTTAGAAAGGTATACTTCCTAAACATCAAAACACAAAACACATTTTTTACATTACACTTCAGTTTCACATGTGTTGATTTGGTTATATTCCAAAGATATTGTTTTATTAATGGTTTCAACTTATTTTAAATTTACTCCAATTTCTCAGCATATTCTTTGAAATTCCGGTTTCATATGCAAATACAAATGCAAGGCCACTTATATAATGAGGTCTTGAAGAGGTTTCACACAAAATGCATAGACATGCATGCATTTTGAATGAACCATGCAACAATTTTTAACTATCAAATAATTTCACTCTCAAACTCAAGTTGGTAAATGGTGCACCTCGGACAATGCACTACAGCGTTTTCTTTGAAGCTGTATATCATGGCCACAATACACTTGCAATGGGAGTAACTTGAAACGGCAACATTGAGGGTCAATGAGTGATCAAGAATGCTAATGGGATCATGGCCTAGGTTCGTGACCTCCATTGCACACTTGGGAGGGGTGTTTAGCCTAAGATCTCCCCTTTGTGGGTGCATCTACATCATAATTTGTTGCTGCTGGGGTGTGCGCTTGCGCCGCCCCAATAAAAAAAACCAAAAAAAACTTAAGTAGAGGACATGTCAATAATGGCTGTTACAAACCTACAGTCCTTTAACATCTCACATCTGGGCTGGTGCCGATTTCCACCAAATGATCCCACACATCAGAAAAGCAATTAGCACTTACACAAAGGAAACGTCAGAGAACATGATGAAGTTGAGTAGCCTAACAGGAAGTCAGGAAGGAAGCAACTTTTCTGTAGCACCTATAACATTTGTACAAGAGTGTAGAGCCAGTGTGACACCCAGTGCATGAACATAAGAAAAATAAAAGAGGCACCCACTAGTCATGGTCAAGTTTCCACGTAGCAATTTCAGCAATCTCAATTACTCATTTCAATAATACTTTGAAATATAAAAAAACCGTAATCTGTACAAAAATAGTTTAAAGGTTCCAGATCAACCAGAACAACAATCCAACAGTTTCGTATGAGCTTTATCAGAAGTTTTGGAAACTAAACTGCTTTATTCTGAACCCCACGCTTCCAAAAAAAAAAACCTGAGCAGGGAACTTATATGAGTTAGGATCAACTGATAGTCTGATACTGGTTAATGCTGAGGTAAAAAATCTTTGACTTGTCTTCAACCACTTTGAGGAATTGTTTGCGTTATGAACTCGTTCATTGAGAACCATGGATTCAAGCTCCAGCAATGCACCAAGACGCCTGCCGACAGTGGTCTCCAATCAAGATACTTATTAGACAATAAATTTCTTGACTTCGCAAAATTACAACTTGCCAACAGTCATGATGCCCAATTGAATATAGGTGCTCTAACAATTAGCTTTGCTCAACAGGTCCTCTAACAAATGACCTCTCCAACAGGTCCTCTGACAAGTAGCCTCTTGTTAGCATTAATTGATGAAAGAGAATCTTATCAGCAACATTCCGGAGTTGGGAGGAACGGGTCCCTCCGTGGAGACTGCAAAAGGCATCCCACGTCCTCAGTTGCCTTGTAGTGCAGTGTTTTTTGCACATAATACAACAAGTAGCCTTGTGAAGCTCTCACTACACTGTCGCTAACTTGGGTAATCCACGCATCATCACATCTGTACCACTGGTTCCTTAAGCGAAGATATGTAACATAGTGACCAGATTCTAAATTCCCAGAATGAGTAACCACTGCAAACACCTCAAACTCCGTCGAGATATCTGCTTCATCACCCTCGAAAGAAAAAATCCTATTTCCAAACCTGTTCCGCACTATAGAGGAAGACAAGTAAGGAGTCATGTCCAGTAAAAAAGGGAACTGCAAGTATTTGTCAATCTTTCTCGACATTTTCTTTATCCAGGAATGCTCGAATCGTTTTATATGGAAGCATAAAACTGAGGGAAGCCGTTTGATAGACATTTGCTTCAATGAGTCCTGCCTTACTTGACAATGCTGACAGTATAGTTTCTGATCAGATCCCAACTTTTCAGGTCTTGTGAAGAGATCCAAACAGCCTAAGAGAGTCGATATACAGGTGTCTTGGGTTGTCTTGCCAGTTTTCTCAGATGCTTCTTTCAGAAAGATCTTTGCTGTTTCCAAGTCCAGAGATATGTCCAAGCAAGGGTCATAAGTTGTGGAAGTAAATCCACAGATTGTACATGTGACATCTGATCTCAATACCCCCGAGAATACTCTATGAGCAATACATTGACAATCTCCATTATCTGCACATATTGAAAATGAGTTGAATCGGAGCGTCATGAAGATCAATAGTTAATCATACTTTTGAAGTTAAAATCATCTAATTACTGTATGCTGATTTTAAGCACACGTACTAACTGATGGAATAACTATGACTATTTGACTTTGTGTAACGCACATGCAAATGAGAAGCGTCTAATTTTAGCTGATCTCAAGCTAGGAATAGAATGCATTTGATGAAACAGATGATCATGTTCTACAGGCATGCAAATTGCAAAAGAATTTTGTGTTTTTAGTATCACAAAACAAGGAGAAGAACATGCTAGTATCTTCTTTACAGAGTTCAAGTCCACATTGCTTCGACAGGTTAGGTTTTGAGTTTAAACTTAATACTTGAGTTGAGTGTACTTAAGTCCACTATTGAAGAAGTGTTAAAGTGGATTTGCAAAAAATAACTATTGAGTCCACAGCTGTAATAAACAAAGTAAACCTTTTCCACCAAACACCTCAACAATGACTATCTAGTCTCAAACTTCAAATACCTTTATTTTGTGGTCTTGTTCCCTCTTCCTTCTCATGGATCCTATCAAGCACTGAAATGAAGAACTCATGAGCATCCTGCTGCTCATAACTGGCGAGATTTGACGAATGTTGCCACCAACTGCAAGGACAACAAATTAATTGCTTGAGATAGATCCAAAACTTCATAACTAGTGGTGACCAGCAGAGGGGCCACCTCCACCCCTGCAATCTTCTAAGACCGGTTGAAGATAAAATGCGCAGATTTTAACCTAAAAACGCACAACAACAACCCAGTCATTAAATAGTATCTTTCTCCAATGCTTGGGCCCAACTTCATCGCAAGTAACAACTATAAACTGAAAGCACCGATCAGACTAAAAATGGATACATGACATCAATAAAACCCTCAGAGCACAGCTGATCCTCAACCTTAATTGAAACATATCATAAAAGCTCCTTCAATACTGGATTCAAAATTGGAGGGGAATGCATACGAAATTACAAACTACAGATCAAAAGATTTTTCTTAACTAACTATAGTAAAATGGGGTGATCCTAGTCTTTCAGCTCAATATTATATGCTGCAAAGTAACACTTTTTTGCATGACATAGGCATTGCCACATCAACACTTGTAGTATTTTAGAATCTCCAAATCAAGCACACCCTCCATATTCTAGGCCTAATGTGTATATTACATTAAGATCAAATCAAATCACAGAATAGATACCATCACTGAAAACATCAATGTCTAACCTGTAAAGAAATCGGGCAGGACTGTAAGGCTTTCGATCGCCAGAAAATGCTGCAGTAAATATAGCATCAATATCGCAATGCAAACACAACCGATCTGATGGGTTTTCCCTACAAGATTCCCGGTTATGTCGATCCCCAAGGAAATAATTCCTCAATGGGGGTGTATGAAGCAATGCTTGCAATACAGAATTCATGAAACAAGTATTCCCTAGATTGTTTAACCCTCTCAAACCCCAAGGAAAACTTGAACCTGATCCTCTTCTTATCTTCAAAACCAACTTGATTGGATTCTTTCGAGAATCTAATGAACCTAGCTTCCTCTTCTTCAATAGATTCTCTTTACTAATAAAATCAACCCCATTACTGTTTCTAGGCATCTCCATCATCTGCTTACACATCACAGCTTTATCAAAATCAGGATCATAAACCTGATCAAAACAAACCCAACAAAAAAGCTCTGCTCTTTCCATATCTACAGCAATATCATGACCATTTTCAACTTGAGAATGTAAATGAGCATGATTTGAATCTGGTAATAGACAACAAGAAACAGAAGAACAGATCAAACATAAATAAAATCTACCTTGATACCCAAAGCAAAAACAACATTTGGGTATCTTAGTTTTATCTATATTCATACTTGTTCTTCCATTTGGTGTTGTTTTAAGACTATTTTGAAGAAAATTATAACCATTAAAGCCATATTTTAGCTTGTAACTAACAAGATGAGAACAAGGTAATGGGTTAGTATATGTGGGGTTTCTACTTGACATATTGACAACGACTGGAAAGCTAGTTTGATTTCTTAAACAAGCTCAAAAATAGAAGAAAGATTGGATTTTTAGATAGGTTTTCTAGATTTTGAAGTATAAAAAAAAAAAAATGGGTTTGGATTAAAATTTAATGGGGATTTTGTTGATTTAATGAATGAGAAGAATGTTTAGATCAAAAGATAAATAAAGAAGAGATCTTTTCAATCTATGTGCTGTCTCTCTCTTTCTCTGCAAGTTAGCAGTTTTTGGGCATTAGATTTTGGAGGGTAGTTTGTGAACTTTTTTGTGTTAGTAAGGAGTAGACTGACTATAAAAGACTTTGGTTTCCTATAAAAGAAATTTGAAATACGTCCCTATAATTGAGAATATTTGCACCAAACATCTTTGTAGGTTGATTTTTTCATGTATTCTTGTCAATGTTACTATTGGCATGGTCAAGAAATTGAGGATATGCATTATCCATTTTATTTTTATTTTTTTGGGCAACAAAGATTTTATCTAAACAGAAGTGTGTCTTAGATATTATTCAAATGCATTATTAGAAATGATTCATACCTTCCAAGTTTAATGATACCTTTATAATCTTTATCCCAAAAATTAATAGCCCAACCCTTCCTGATCATTTTAGACCTATAAGCCTTTGTAACTTCTTCTATAAGGTGATATCAAAGATTCTAGCTAATAAGTTTAAACCTTTCCTTGATAGATTTATCTCTCCATAACCAGGGGACTTTTGTAAAAGGGAGGAGTATAGGGTAGAACTCAGCCATGGTCCATGAAATATTCCATAATATGAAGAAGATGAAAAAAAAGAAACAAGGGTGGATGGCTATTAAAATGGACATGTCCAAAGCTTATGATAGAGTAGAATGGAGTCTGGTGATAAATATCCTAGATAGACTAGGGTTTAGTTGCAAGTGGAAACACCTTATTCTGCAATGCCTTTCTTCTGTTCATTTCAATGTTCTTATCAATGGGGAACCTGGAGAAAGTTTCCAACCTGGTAAAGGCTTAAGACAGGGGGATCCTCTTTCTCCCTACATGTTCATTCTTGTTTCTGAAGCCCTTTCTAGGCTTATTATGAAAGGTGAAGAAGATAAGCTTATTAGTGGCATCAAAATTAGAAGAAGATCACCCAGTATGACCCACCTCTTGTATGCAGATGACCTTATCCTCTTTTGTAAAGCTACTGTTGAGGAATCTGGTAATCTGTTAGATATCATCAATAAGTACTGCAGTTTATCTGGCCAAGAAGTTAACTATATAACAAGTCTTCAGCTTTCTTTAGCAACAATGTTCATCAT